TCCACATATTGATGACACCCATGTTCCCTCTAAGCTGTGGAGACTTGTGAGCAAAAATTCTAGTTTGTGAGCTACTGGCAATAAAGTTGTGAGCGAGGGATTTGGCTACTACATCAATAAGTTTGCTCTGGAGTCATCCTTCCTGAGTTAAGACAAAAATGTGTGAGTCGGAGGCTAAAAAACTATGAGCTGGCTCACACTAACTCAGCTTAGAGGGAACAATGGATGACACCCAAGCCCATACCTCCGGGCAATCTGGACAGGGGGGCGCATGTAGATGTTAAACAACATCGGGGACAGCACCGCCCCCTGAGGCACCCCACACTCAAGAGGCTGCCTCCGAGACTGCTGCTCCCCTATCGCCACCCTTTAGTTAGTGTGAGCGAGCTCACAGTTCTTTGGCCTCTGGCTCACACATCTTTTTCTCAGCTCAGGGAGGAGGGCTCCAGAGCAAACTAATTGATGCCGTCGCCGAATCCCTCGCTCGCAACTTTAATGCCAGCAGCTCACAAAGTCGAATTTTTGCTCACAAGACTCCACAGCTTAGAGGGAGCATTGGCCCCATATATATATTTTTAATCCTTTACAACTAAATACATGTGTTTGATATATTATTTATACATTATTTTATTTGTTGACCCTCTTCTTGCCCCGTTTACATCCCTGTTTGTTTGTCCCAGACATTTTCCATGAAGTGGAGATGCCAAACCAGTATTGCTTGGCTTTGCTGGAGCTCAATGGCATGGGTTTCAGCGACGTGGAGTGTGAGACTCAGAAACACGTCATGCAAGCCAAACTGAATGAGATCGAGAATCGGATCTACCAGCTGGCGGGACACACTTTCTCCTTAACGAGTCCTGACGACGTTGCCGAGGTACCGGTGTGACTGGGGAAGAGCGCTGTGCTACGGGCCCAGTACGGATCAGGCCCTAACACCATTTATGGGGAGATTTTTTTTTCGGGGGGGGGGGGGAGTGCCCTCAGTCCATGCCTTGGCATCTGTGTGGTGAAAATCCTGCCGTATTTTCAGGTGGAAATCAGAGTGGGAAATGAGTTCAAGTTAGGGTTGTCTCCCTCCAGGTGGCACCTGGAGATCTCCCGCTACTACAATTGATCTCCAGCTGATAAAGATCGGTTCCCCTGGAGACAATGGCTTCTTTGGAGGGTGGACTCTATGGGCATTGTACCCTGTTGAGGCCCCTCCCCTTCTCAAACCCCGCCTTCTTCAGTCTCCGCCCCCCCTAATCTTCAGGTATTTCCCAGCCCAGAGCTGGCGACTCTAGTTCAAATTTAGACAAGAAGCACCAATACGAACTGGTGGTGGTACGTCACTCTGGTCCCCTTTTTGTCCCCACATCTGAAGTGTATCTATTGGCAGTTGTGCCTGGGTGTGAGTCTGCAGTATCATCACAGCCAGGCTGCTTTCCCTTGTACTTTCCCCTCCTTTAAAACGATATTTACATCTCCATGAGCTTTTATTGGGTGCCCAATCAAAAGGCTAGTATGAGCTGTGCAAAAAAAAATTCCAGCGGCTTGCGAAATCCCTCAGGAGATTCCGTGCACAAATTTTAAAATTTAGTAAATTCTGACTGTTGCGTTAGCAGGGCGACCTTTTGCATTCTTCTATCTATTCTATGGTAAATCTTTTGATTTGTAATGGTCATTGACCGAATAAATCTGCATCCGAACCATCTCAGTAATTAAAAGCGAGCTTAGCATTCCCTGCAGAATCAAAGTTAAGGACCACACTCCATTTAACATTCCTTTCTTATTTTGATCACCTTAACATTAGTAAGTAAAGGTAAAGGTTTCCCTTGCTCAAAAGCCAGTCAAATCTGACTCTAGGGATGCGGTGCTCATCTCCGTTTCCAAGCCGAAGAGCCAGCGCTGTCCGAAGACATTTCTGTGGTCATGTGGCCAGCATGACTACACGCCGAGGCACACAGAACACTGTTCCCTTCATCTACTTGCAGTGTTTTGCTTTCGAACTGCTAGGTTGGCAGGAGCTGGGGCCAGAGACCGGAGCTCACTCCGTCACGTGGCACTCTTGAACTGCTGAACTACCGACCTTCCGGTCTGCAGTTCAGCGTCTTAACCACTTGAGTACTTCTCCTTAATTAGCTGTTTAATTATCTGGTCCAAATGACACAGTGTAAGTAAAGAGGGGATTGTTCATAGTCCGCCGTGGTTGCGCTACGATTGCCCGGGTGATGGTTTTTGGCTTCTCCCAGGTGTTGTTTTTGGAACAGAAGCTGCCACCAGACGGCGAGTCTAAAGTGCAGCAGGGCAGGAAGACATTGGGCTACACCAGAAGGGCCACCGCAAATGGAAACCGAGTCCGACTGGCCAAGCAGTTCAGCACCACCAAGGTACAGTTTCTAGTAAAGACGACTTCTGGTCCCAAAAGTAGGAGCCCAGAGGACTTCTTTTTTCTTTTTTATGTTTTGATTGAGTTTTTAACACCTTTACATTCATCAACATAAACATTAGTTCCAACATTCTATGACAGTGACTTGACCGTAAATCATAGTCTAGCTTACCAGAAACTATACATCATAAAGCATTTCTTTATTAGCCCTTCAATTTGTCATTCAGAAGGGGTTGTTCCCTTGGATTGATTTGTGAGGTTTTCATATGTTTGTTTTATTATTTTATTATTTATTATTTTCTGTAAGGTGGGTAGCCTACTGGACGTCTGTGGCTGGACGTCAGTGGCTGACTGTCAGTATTGGTACGCTCTCGTCGGTCAGGGCGTCAGGAGGCTAACGAGTGCAAAAACCATTGGAGGAATTTTGAATGGCCGTGGGTGAAACTAGACACAGAGAAGACAGTGGCTGGAAAGCTTGGAGTTCCATATAGGCTCCTGTTTGCCTCATCAGCCACTTTAAACTAGACAGGCTTTGGTGTAATTACAATAAGAAAAATAGGGCTCACCAAAGATTATTATACCAAATTTCCTGTATTAACTAGCATTCGTTCATTATATCTGAAGTACATTTCATGAACATAAGCAAAGCCAGTAAATAATAATACGAGTACAATACAAAACAATACAAGATCTTGATGTAGTTATTCTTGACGTCGTTTTGGCTGAGCTCCTGGAATGTTTACACAAGCAGGAAATGACAATAATGTGGATCAATGCACCCTTTGGGAAGACATTAGAGAGAGGTTGCGTTGATCCATATTATGGTCATTCTCTGCTTGTGCCACGGCAAGAGATCGGTGACAAACACCAACTGAGAGATAGAGTTGAAAAAGACATATGAAACCGCTGTTTAATCCTAGGAAAGTGTGTTAAGGAGTGATAAACACTGTTCGGGAACTCGTAGGATGAAGACTCCTCCGTTTGCTTTGCACACTTTACTGCTCCGTCAGGACGTCTCAAAGAGTAAACATTCCAGGAGCTCAGCCAAAATGACGTCAAGAATAACTACATAAAGATCTTGTATTGTTTTGTGTTGTACTCGTGTTATCATTTAGTGGCTTTGCTTATGTTCATGAGATGTACTTCATATATAATGAACGAATGCTAGTTAATGCATGAAATTTGGTATTATCATCTTTGGTGAGCCCTATTTTTCTCATCCGCCCTCTTGGCTGGTACCTTCACCGTGCCACCGTGCACTTCTGCCTCCTCTGCCTCTGGCACTCAGTAGGGAAATGACGAAGTGGACTCAGAGCCCCACTCTGCCCCCCAAGCCTGCTGAGTGGCCTTGGGCCAGTCGCGCTTTCTCCACCTGACCGACCTCACAGGATCGTTATTAAGGATGGATGGATGGGGGGGGGGGAGCCACGTTCACTGCTTTGAGCTCCGGCTATATCATTCATCTGCTTCAGGACTTCTTTTCCTTTACCGAAAGAGATGAAAATCTACCTAAGAACAAAGGAAGATTTCATTTGAAACCTTATGAGAGGATAATGCCATTGATTTCCCCAAAGAGGTCAAGTCATCCAACCTTTTGCCACTCTTTACCCACAATGAGGCCAAGCAGATGCCCCTGGGAGCTCAGAGAAGGCGAGGAGAGTGATGTCCAGGAGAGCGCTGACTCTAATATGGGAGAACCAGGTCTGCTTTCCCCACTTCTCCTCCACATGCAGCTGCTGGTGTAAACTTGGGTCAGTCATAAGTTCTTTCAGAGCTGTTCTCTCAAGAGCAGTTCTCTCAGCGCTCTCAGCACCACCTACTTCACAGGGTGTCTGTTGTGGAGAGGAAAGGAAAAGGGATTGTAAGCTGCTCTGAGACTCCTTTGGGTAATGAAGGGGGGGGTATAAATCCAATCTCTTCTTCTTCTTTTACCTCCCAGGGTGTCTGTTGTGGGGAGGGGAAGGGAAAGGAGTTTGTAAGCCGCTCTGAGACTCCTTCCGGTAGTGAAGGATGGGGTATAAATCCAATCTTTGTCTTCTTGTTGTTTGTGCCTCAGAATCTGACCAGGAGGCTGTTTCTAGACCTCTCCTTCACAGATCTGACCAGTTTTCCTTTACAGCCATCCAAATGCCTGTGGTATTTCTTTATTTAGAATATTTCTGTGCTGCCTCTTCATAGTCCTGCTCAAGGCAGCTTACAATAAAAACACCACAGTCATTAAAACACAAGCTGTTAAAACGAAAGGCCATTGGATCCTGGTAGTAAGTTCCATAGGTTAACGATGCGCTACATGAAGAAGTACTTGGTTTATTCGTAATACCGTTCTTGGTAGGGGAGCAGGAAGGAGAAGTTCAGCATCTCCTCCTTTGGAGGTTTTCAAGCAGAGGCCTGATGGCCATCCGACAACAATGCCGATGGTGCCCCCCAGGGTTTGCGTGTTAAAATTAAGATCATGGGGAGGGGCCCTTCTGGTTGTCCTGTCAATCAAAGAAGCTGGTTTGGTGAGTACACAGGACATGGCCTTTTCAGTGGCAGCCCCATGTTTGTGGAACATCCTCCACAGGGAGGTGCACCTGGCTCCTTCACTTCCAGTCTTTAGAAAGCAGCTGAACGTGGTCATACTTTGGAAGGTGTTTGGTTAAAGTAGTCCTAAATTGTGATTTTAAATTTTGGTTTTATATATATTGTTATGTAAATCTTCTTTTATGTACTTTATTTCTCTAGTAAGCCGCATTGAGCTCCATAAGGAAGACAGGTGGCCATTAAATGTTTAACATAAATAAATGAAGTTTCATATGGAAATCATGAGAAGGCAGGAAGGCAACTAATGGGCTTTCCCCTGCCCTTAATTTCTGCAGGATTCGGGGGGAGGTTGTGTTCAGGAAGGAGAAAGGGAAGGAGAATGGAAGGAGAATGCTGAATGCAGCCCTCGATCGCCCCCATCCTGCCTGTTGAGGAGCGGCCAAGAGGGGCCTTCCCCAAGCTGGCCAGAGTCAAAGCATCAGGGCTGTGTGGTATTCTGCGGGACTCTGTGAGGCTGGCTGGACCACATGGCCTACATGAGTGCAGTTTTCAAGGGCTGCCCCCCAGGGTTTGCGTGTTAAAATTAAGATCATGGGGAGGGGCCCTTCTGGTTGTCCTGTCAATCAAAGAAGCTGGTTTGGGGAGTCACAGGACATGGCCTTTTCAGGTGGCAGCCCCATGTTTGTGGAACATCCTCCACAGGGAGGTGCACCTGGCTCCTTCACTTCCAGTCTTTAGAAAGCAGCTGAACGTGGTCATACTTTGGAAGGTGTTTGGTTAAAGTAGTCCTAAATTGTGATTTTAAATTTTGGTTTTATATATATTGTTATGTAAATCTTCTTTTATGTACTTTATTTCTCTAGTAAGCCGCATTGAGCTCCATAAGGAAGACAGGTGGCCATTAAATGTTTAACATAAATAAAAAGTTTCATATGGAAATCATGAGTAGGCAGGAAGGCAACTAATGGGCTTTCCCCTGCGCTTAATTTCTGCAGGATTCCTTAGAGAAGCTAAAGGCGCTGCACCCGTTGCCAGGCCTGATTTTAGAATGGAGGAAGATCAACAACGCGATAACCAAAGTGGTGTTTCCCCTGCAGAGGGAGAAACGTTTGAATCCTGTACTGGGAATGGAGAGGATCTATCCCATTTCTCAGACTCACAGTGCTACAGGTGACGACTGTTATTCCTTTGCACACTGATTGCCGTAGAAATACCAGAACACTGACCATTTACTTGGGGAGGGAGACCCGCTGCTTCCCGCGTATAATACATTGAGGGGTCTGTTGTTTTTTTCTGTACCTGAAAGAAGTTCAGCGATAATTGTGGGTCTTAAGGACTGCCCTGCTTGCCTGGAGTCAGTAGCCATTTTCTAACCTTACTGCAGTTGGTGGCAGGCCTTAAGGAAGATGGGCTCAGATGAATCACCTACTTCCTTCTTATTTTTCATCACGTGTTTGTAGTCTTTGAACTGCACTTATCAAACAAGATTTTTGTTTGTTTGTTTTCCAGAGAGTCAGTTTGGTGTAGCGGTTAGGAGTGCGGACTCTAATCTGGGAGAGCCGGGTTTGATTCCCCACTCCTCCACATGCAGCTGTTGGTGTGACCTTGGGTCAGTCACAAGTTCTTTCAGAGCTGTCCTCTCACGAGCAGTTTCTCTCAGAGCTCTCTCAGCCCCACCTGGCTCACAGGGTGTCTGCTGTGGGGAGGGGAAGGGAAAGGAGTTTGTAAGCCGCTCTGAGACTCCTTCAGGTAGTGAAGGGCAGGGTATAAATCCAACCTCTTCCTTGTAGTTGAAATCACATTCCGTTTTGGACCGTGGTGGGTCCATTCATTTCTTTGGATTCCGGTCCGAATCTACAGCCATACTAGTTGATTCACGTGAACAATCTCCAAGCGTGGTGTTTTGTTTCCAGCTTGGTTTTGTTTTGAAGCAAAGACTTCCACCAGTTGCTCCCCACCAATTCGGGGTTCTGGGGGGGGGGGGGGGGAGATTTGGTGGGGGGGGAAAGGGCCGTCAGATCGCCCCCATAAGGTTTTCGG